CTCCCACCCTGCCCCTCTCGCCGGCTTCCCGCCGCCCACCCTTGGACATAACTCCAGAAGTTCTACGGCAAGATGATCTCATCCAAGGGCGAGCTGGAGGAGGCGTCCACCGCATTTGTGCGCCACCTCCTCTCATCGCGCGACGCCAACGGGCTCGCGGCCATCGAGGAAGGGCGCGCCGCCAGCTACTCCGCAGGACCCTCGGCCCACGGCCCGCCGGTCGCGCCCCTGAAAGATGCTGACGAGGCGGCAGCGGCGCCTGCACAGCCGGCCGGCCCGGCACTGGCGGGCGGCAGCGCGTCCAAGCGTGTGACGCGCTTTGTCACTGCCAGCGAGGGCAGCGCCAGCGACGAGGATTCGGCGGCGCCCCACGCGCCCACGCTCGTGGGTCGCGTGCCACAGCAACCCCCCGTGCCCGCGGCCGCGCCCGCGTCGGCCAAGCCAATAGCCGCCGCAAAGATGGCGGCGCTGCAGGCGGCCCTGGACGAGCATGCGCGCCACGCGGACGTCCGGGCGGCGCCGCCGGGCGGCGGGCGCGGCCTCAGGGCTGCGCTGAGGCGCGTGCGCGGCGGTGGTGGGCCTGGCGGAGTGGACGGTGGCCTGTCGCCCCCGGTGTCGCCGCGCAAGGGTGGCCGCCGCGGCAGCGGGCAGGCGTCATGGTTCCGCCAGTTCAGGTACGCTGATCCGGGAGGCCGGGAATGGAGAAAATGGGCAGTGGCTTTGACCGTCAGTCGCAATGCGTTAGCCTCTCTTCGTTTGGAGGGCTGAGATGTAAAACGGCAGTCCCGCTACACGGCGCTGGGCGGACGCTTGCGGCAGTCCAGTTGACGGCCGCAAGCATCCTGCAGCATGATGTGTGCGGCGAGCCCTGGCTAACACAGCTGTGCGATGTGAGTCGTCCGATCCCAAAACATACACAAAGCCCCGTCCTACTACTGCCTTCCCCTTTCATGGCGCATCACGTCCCCTACCCCGCATGAGCAGCGTGCTGCTGTGGCGCGAGGCGCTGTCGGTGACGCGCAACCCCGCTGACGTGGCGGGCCGCATGCTGATCTTCACCTGGATCTCCGTGCTCATAGGTGGCCGCGCGCTTGCTCAGAAAGAGTTGGCAGCCTTTGAGTGATACTGCAGCAGCCATCCACCAACTTGCTCACCTGCAACACACGCGTGCACCTCACTCCTCGCGCCCACCTCCTCGGCCCAGCCTCCAAGGCCCAACAGCCCCTGATCCCCAGTCCGACCTGCTGGGTGGGGTGCACGCTGCTCTGGTCACTAGTGGATTGCAAACATGCTCCCCTTGGTTTTGCTCCTGCCGTTCACCCCCTCCAACCTGAAATATCTCCTGCCAGGCCTGATCTACTACAACCTCGACAACTCGCTGGGTGCACTCAGGAGCAGGCTCAACGTGCTCTTTGTGCAGTGAGCGGCACGTTATTGTTGTTGTTCGGCAGGCGACCTTGCTGATGCTGTTTGCCTCCCTGTTCCCGCGCACAAATTGCCCTTCTGAGGCGCCCACGCAAGCCGCCTGCTCCATGACCACAGCCGGCCAGGAGTCGGCCGTGCTCTGCTTTCTTTCATCACAACATACTCCCATGGCCAGCAACCCCCTCTTTCCCCCCCAAAGCAGTCCCCATGTGCTCTCTCCATGCCGCCCAGGCCCCTGCCCCTGCC